CAAATTATTCTTTCTCAAAACTAAAAAAATTGAGATGTGGCAAAATAATTGTTCTTAAGCTGATATAAAAAATCCTTAGAGACTGGTTAATAATGGTAACATATAGTGATACACCACTGCGACTATTTCTGCTCACAATCTTTTTTCATACCCAACGATTTATAATTTAATTACAATCTAATACATCTTTTAGGCGTACACTGATCTAGCTAATGACCAAGTAGATGCACTCAAAATATTATTGTTGTATGGTACAACAGTCAACACARCAAGTTCACAGTTTTGTTTATTTTCATTAATGCTGTGGTCTGTGGGTTTTCTAGTACAATAATATATAATAATACAGCTATATATTATTATAATACTCACTACCCGCATCATAATAACTATGATATTATATATTACGAATTGTTGACTCAATATTTTGAACGTATAGTTCTTTTATTTTTTAAACATCTGAGTTACTGATGAAAGTGAGCTTATTTTCACGAGTGTGAATGAATAATATGTGTATGCTTAAGTCGGTAAAACATTACCTTTTGAAGTATATTCTCCGGTGTACATTGTTATTTAGGTATTTCTTTAAGATAGAATATAGATAATATTCTATTTACATCGATTGTTCAAATGTTACGGAAATAATGGCCTTGTGTATTCCCTCTAATTATTGTTGTTTATAGAAACTATTACCTTTTATGCACTTTCAAACAGAGTTATATTATTTTTATTTTCYCAGCAGAAAACGGTAACTATGTAGGTATTTGAAATGTGTTGGCTATTCATTTTAACACGACTATTATAATATTTTTCACATTTACGTTTTCAAATATTGACTAATGATTTTATTTGTTCATATAGGTGTTAATTTATAACAGATAGCATGGTAAAATACTAAATAGTAAATGCCATATGAAAAGGTGTACAAGAGATGTTACAGTATAAGTAATAACTTAACGAATAAAATAACTTTTATTATAATCAATATTTCAATATTTTTTTCTTTCATATATAATTTATAAGCGCTTACGCCAACTAAACAATTTTTATTTAAATTGTATAAAGGTGAAAATTTTAAATTAAATTAAATTATTTTTGAAAAAAATCAATATCGCCAACTTCTAATTATAATTGTTGGAAATGTCTATTTAAATCAAGTAGTTAATTTTTTAAAGTTTCGAATGATGTAGACACATATTTTTTTTGTAATCTAATTTGAAATAAAATACATTTTTTTT